CTTCCCCCAGCCACAACAGGGATGATATTTTACCTCCCTGGGCTTGATGTTTTTCCATGTCTACTCATTGCTTCTCGCTTGGGGTACCGTGCCAGTCGACCAACTGGTGCAGGTGCGTTGCCTGGTAGTATGTGATGACTGATAGCAGTCCCATGCCTCCCTCGCTCCTTGGGAGTTCCAGGATCGTTTTCCGTATATGCGCAGGGCTTCTGATTCCACACAAACTGCCTGATGGTTGTCGTTAGTGACTGAAAGAACTTCCGCGGGATGCTTAACAGTAGCGTCTGGAAAAAATATAGTATTCGGGGCATAATGTTCATTTTAATGGCATTTATATGGCCAAACCATGATATATATTGGGATGTCCAGCGCTTCATGTCGTGCTGCAAGTTTGCGAGTAGGGGTGCAAAATTCATGTGGTAGGTTTGTGCTAAGTCGTTCGGGAGCCATATGCCAAGGTAATGTAGTTTGGTTATGCATATCCTGAAGGGGAAGTGCGTTCGGATGTGTCCCTGGAGGGCTGCGTCTCGCGTGAGGGGCATTAACTCAGACTTGTCCAGGTTGAGTTTCAGGTTGGAGACCTCGCTGTAGTGTCGGAATGCCTCTATAAGATTTGGTAAGGATATTCTTGGTTGCTCCAGGAAGAAGAGCATGTCTGCATAAGCCGCCACCCGGTGCTCTCTCCCCCCACGCGACACCCCGTAATACCCCTGTCCTGTCTGACCGCCTCCAGGAAGGGTTCCAGGGTGAGGGCAAACAGGAGTGGGGACAAGGGGCAGCCCTGGCGTGTGCCATTGCAGATGTTAAATGTGGTGAGGTATAGAGCACAGCCACCCAGGTCCGCAGGTGTGGCCCGTATCCCATGTGTCTCAGGGTCTCCAACATGAAGGTCCAATCTACTCTATCAAATGCCTTTTCGTCGTTGGTGGAGAGCAGCACCATATCCGTTTGTTGGCGTGTGCTACATGGATGGAGTTGAGGGCCCGTATGGTATTATCTCGGGCTTCTCTTCCAGGGATGAATCCGACCTGGTCTGGGTGAATGAGGTCTGGGAGTGTCCTGGCCATCCTGAGTGCTAATTCTGTAGCGAACAGTTTGAGGTCCGCATTTAACAGCGAGATTGGCCTGTAGCTGGCACAATTAGTTGGGTCTTTGCCTTCCTTTGATATGATCGTGACTGTCGCCCTCAGTTTGACCTTTAGGGGTCGAAACGGTGCTGTTGTGGTTCCCAACAAAGTGCCTGTCTTGAACCAAGGAGTGCCTGGACCCCTATTAATTTATCATTAGGATATTGTCATAATATCAACAAGTTATTGTACACCAGTGGCTGATGGCTATCAGCCCTTTGGTATCTAAATATAGAGAATATCCTGGAGAATTATAGTTTCAGGTAGGAATTAAGGTCATGATAACCAAACCTATGAAAGGAACAAGTCTAGACTAATAGAAAACTAACTCCTGTAAGAAATGAGACACCCATCTTGAATCTGTATTGTGATGGAGATAATAAAAAAGATTAGAGAAGAAGCTCCTAAAAACATAAAAACACTGACTGGAAATTATAATTTTGTTTGGTAAAAGCAGAAATTAATGTCCTTTTCCGATACAAAGGAAATACTCAATAGATGGCCCTAATATAGAACCTTGTCAAAGGCATAACTTCCAGACACCCGACTGGAACAAGCCCTGACATTTCAGAAACTGCTAAAGAAAAACAGTCATCCCCTGCTATCTAACAGGGAGGAGAAATTAAAGGGAAATTCCCACCATTTTCTAAAAGAATGTATTTATTAATGACAAAATTCTCTGCTTGATCTTGCCTTGTGAGCTACTTACCTGTAGCTACAGGAAACACAGAACAATATTTACCTGTAAGACAAAGCCTAGTAGAGAAATAGGAGAGTTTGTTATTAAAACACTGCAACAATGACTATAAATTGCAAAGATCAGACTCTCAATTGCACTTCACACTGTAAATAGATTGTTTGATACCGTAATGATAAAATCAGGAGAGTTATAAACCAGTAACACAAATAGTAGATATTAATAGGGAAAGGCAAGAAGGATCACTTCATTCAGATAGTAGTGAAAGGATGAACCATGGGATTCTGCCAACTACCAGTTATAAGTAGAAAATTTAGGTCAACAACACCAACACATACATTCAAAGACAAAAATACTGTAAATAGTACAAATTTTGCCAAACATGATTAGACAAAATGATTAGACACTGTTGATCAATATAAGTAGGTAGTATGTATGAGGCCGGATACTAATAAAAATGTGGTAACCAGTGGCACAGGATACATTGTGGCAACAGACACATAAATAAGCAGAATTGCTGGGTTTAGTAAATTGTCTTTAAGAGAACAAAGCAACCATAAACTTACTCTGACCTTATCTTCAGATAGTGATGAAGGATTTACAGCAGAGCCTATGGTGACTTTAAGATCCTTATGCGGCTTGTTTTATCTGCAACGATACTAACATCAGTCCAAGCATATTTTTCACAAATATTACATCAATGGAATGTCAGGAATGAAAGTCACGTATATGGATCTAGGTACAGAGACCATGGGAAAAATATCAGCCAAATGTTTGTCACAAACAAGCTGACTTCACAGCTTATAGAGACATATAATGGCTGGAAAGTCCAATTAGTAGGACACCTAGAAGAATCCCCTTGAACATCAGAACATGCAAGAAGTAGAGGGGAAATCATGTTCAGGGATTTCCCTTATTGTTCTTATATCAAGTAAAATATTGCATGATTAATCCTGGTATATTGGTCTGGGTTTAGGTTCAGGTATGTTTCGTAGATAGCTCCCTGATTTGATAGTGGCACCCTTTTGTGGAATTGTCATTCACCATTTTAACAATTGCCATATTGAAGGATATTGAAGATATACTATCCTAATTTGGTAGCCTTATGTTGGATAGCCAGTATTCAAGGAGAACAAATTAGGTAGCTATCTACTTGTAAATGGAGCTCCATTAGGTATCCTTAAATATGTAAATGTCACATAGGGGTTCTAAATTAGGAAGCTGTCTAATAGGTAAATTTTTAGTAATTAACTTGTGTGAATGATGAAAAAAATAATAACCACCTGTAGTAATTATGATGCTGGAGCAGTGTCCTGCATTTCCTCCCTGACACATCCCTAATGTAAGTAGCAGAGAGTAAACCTAATAAAACCATTTTCAAATGGAAGCTCAGGATTATAAAGCAACTTATTTATGGACTACTCAGCGTTGGCCACCAATCATGATCATGCCCTCTATGATAAGTGTCTCTCATCATTAAATGACGCTGGGTGGTGCAGTTCTTACCTAATTAGCTGAGAGATCATTGGATGCTTTTAGTCAATGAGCTAGCCATGCACAGGGCTTGGCTCTGAAGAGCAATTAAAAGCTCCCTGCAGAAGTTCTTTTCAACCTAATACTTTCCAACCTTTCCAACTACCAACATGTTAATTTCTTACCTACTGGGTGCCGGTCACTTCTTCTAGTGTACTACTAATACTGCATGCACACATAGAGAAAGTGAGTGGTGCCATTCTGTAGTACCTCATAGATCCGATTTAAACTACTAAGATTGGTTGGGTGCAAGGGCACTCCTGGCACCTTAACCCATAACAGCTCACTGTAGTAGTGGTTTCAAGTTTAAAAAATAAATAAATATTGAAAACAAAACTGACCAACAATCAGGAAATACATAAACTTGAGTATACAGAAGCAGACATGGCTTGTTGTGGTGCAATCATGGTTTTTAGTTCACTGTTGTCATTCTCTAGTTTTGTTTATTCTTTCATCACAGCCAGTCTTCTTCATATTTCTACTTCCAGCGTTTGGATGGGTCAGTGAGTGTGTGATGTGGACTTTCAACTGTGTGTCTCTCTGTGTATAGTGAGTGCATACGGTGTGAGGTCAGGGAGATAAGTAAAAGAGATAAGGAAAAAAGATGATTCACAAAGAAAGACATTTAAATGGAATGGAAATTAAAGTGGAATGGGAGAGTGAGTGGGCAATTGATGATTAACTGCTGAGAGGAAAGAAAATCCTTCAGTCCTTGGCATGTGGAGTGGACTTCAGTGTGCACATTCAATGCTCTAGTGAAGTGTTTCCCAACCCAGTCCTCAAGGCACACCTACCAGTCCAGGATTTAGGGATTACCCAGTTGTGTCTAAGGTGTTTTTTTTCTTCTTTGTAAAAACACCTTAGACACAACTGGGTAATCCCTAAATCCTGGACTGGTAGGTGTGCCTTGAGGACTGGGTTGGGAAACGCTGCTCTAGTGATTAACTGGCTGTACTGGTAGAGAAAGTAGGCTTTGCCACACTGCAAACACAGGCAGTGGGGATAAAAAAGCATCAACTTTTAATAAGAATATGGATTTAAGAGGGGTGGGAGGGGCGGAAAGATTTGATTTTCGCCACCACCATAAATGAAAATGGACTGAAAGAGTGTGAAGGAAATCAATAACAAACTCACATAACTTCCAAATGTGTATTGTACTTCTTTTTGTTGTTGTTCTTATTATTTATACACATATTTATTTATCTAGTAAATGAAGACTGCATTCCTGGTTTGCAAAGTATATTAGAAAAGATTGCATGGGTATAACCAGAAATTGCTTGCCCCATGCAACCCATTAAACAGTTAACAATTCTCCTGTAAGTACAAAAGGACACTATAACATGGGTTTCCTTGTATTACTAAAAAATATTTCTATACATGATTAGAACATACATTTAGGAAAGAAAAGTTTTATATACATTCCTTTTTTGCTTATTAACCCCTTAAGAATGGAGGCAAATGCACAAGTTTTTTGACCAAACAAAATCAAAGCAAAACCT